ATTAAATATTTACTGATTTGAATACATTGTTGTACTATTTTGTATTAACTTTAAGAAATTAAATGCTTATTAAAAAGCCAAAAAAGAGTATTAATTTGTTTAAATGCACAAAAATTAAAGATATTTACATACGTCCATATAAATGAATCCCTAGTTACTATGAATTAGTGACCACATAAAAAAATATACATTCAACTCATTTTATATTAATAATAATTTCTTGCAAATAATTAATCTTTATGTAAGGTATTCGTTGAAATGAAAAAGCTAGTGTCACGAGCGGGATTCAAACCCGCGACCTTCTGCTTGATAAGCCGCTGCTCTACTACTTGGGCTATCGTGACTTCGATCCTCTCAAACACGAACTAACAACTTTAAACCATCTTTCAGATTTTCCCTCCTTTTTGCCATATTTTCCTTTCAACCAATACCTTCCATAAAGATTAATTAATTGAAAGAAGTTAGTTGGTCAATCGGACCACAACGTATAATGCAATTAATAATAATTCAATATTTTGTAAACTAACTTGGCGAAACCATAGTTTTTCCTTTCTTTTTGACATAAATGAAAATAACAAGGCAATTACCGCTGAATAAACACTAATTTAATTTATCAATTACAAAAAATAAGTAAAGTTTCGCGTCGGAAATTTGTTATAAACCGGCTCGTTGACCGAGAAGGCATTGGCTGGCAGAGCGACAAGTGAACTATTGGCTTCCTTCATTGAGAGCAGAAACTCCGCCGAGGCTACCTTGGAAGTTTCGTGGAACAAAGTTTTATTCCCATTAGTAACCCCAAGGGGGACTTGGAGCTAAATAAAGTTAGAAAGGGAATATAAGGGTCTTATTGCAATTGTGGCCTCTTCGACAATAGAATCTGGTGACAATTACGCTTTTATGGAAAACTTTTTAATATTATCTTTCGCTTTTTCGGATTCGATTGTTATATTCTGATAATGGCCAAGACATGCGATTTGCAATTCATTTATCTACGTATAAATGTCGTACAGTAAAGACCTTTAAATGAAGAGTAATGTACAGTGTAATTGTTCTATGGTTAATTTACAGCTCACGCTCCCTATTCTTTATTACAAAATATTATGTAACAGAGGTGAGAGATAGCGAGAGAAGAAGAGAAATAGAAAGATGGAGATATATATATATATATATATATATATATACGTATACAGATACATAGACAGATAGATAGATAGATAGACAGATAGATACATAGGTAGATAGATAGATAGATAGATAGACAGACAGATAGATAGATAGATACATAGGTAGATAGATAGAAAGATAGATAGATGGATAGATAGATAGACAGATAGATAGATATATTTTTATCATTTATAATAATTTATATTATTCAAGATATTTTTTTCGTATCTAGTTAGACAAATAGGTAGATAGATAGATAGAAAGATAGATAGATAGATAGATAGATAGATAGATAGATAGATAGATAGATAGATAGATAGATAGATAGATAGATAGATAGATAGATAGATACATAGGTAGATAGATAGAAAGATAGATAGATAGATAGATAGACAGATAGATAGATATATTTTTATCATTTATAATAATTTATATTATCCAAGATATTTTTTTCGTATCTTTTCATACTTTATTTCTTATGGTTTTTGTAATATGAATATTTACAATGAGTTTTGGTTTTTATATAAGCTAAATAGTCTATAATGAGATCCAAGATTTTGCGTTACCCAAAGGGTAAAATAATTCGTTGGGTGTCGCAATCGAGGTCTCAAAACCTCTTCAACCTTCCTCTTATTCATTAACCTAACTAACCTAAGTTTGTGACATGTCTGTGGAATACTATTCCTCGGCAGAACCGTCCACTCGTACATAATACGCTAATAAATACATTCACACTGGAAGGGTTCAGCGGATGCCGTCGAGATTTATAGATGTTAAATTACCTAATCTAATTCGGGCCTGCGGATACTCAATATTCCGTCACGGCCGTAAACACGCATACTTCATCATTCGCGCTAATAAATACATTCATGCATAAGGAAAGTATGGAATACAACCTGTGGTTGGTTATACGTGCCCATACGCATTTAATGATTTTACATATGCAGTGAGATTTTCTTTATATGTAGTTGCTGTCATGCCTCAGAAAACTTAGGTAGGTAGCACAGAGGGCATTTTAATTTTATTACACACAAATTAAAATTTGGAGATAACGACTCATCTTATGGTCAAACATGGTTAAATACAATACCATGTCGTATAAATAGTGTAAATTTTGGCATGGCTTCAAGCTTCAATAAAAATCGAAGGGGTTTGCCAGGATTCGAACTCAGAACCGATAGTGTGGAAAATACAAGTCGGACGTCCTACCCTCGGCCACCACGGTCCCCTTCGGAAATAAATAGTGAACTTGCAAACCTGAAAAATTTGTCAATAATATATTTCAGTGTAAGCAGTCATAATAGTAGAGAGAGAGAGAGAGAGGGAGAGAGAGTGACCGAGAAAGAGAGAGAGGAATAAATATACCCGGTTCAAGTCCAGCGGCGATATACTTACAAACGGACAAAAATACCTCCGGAAGTTCATATAACCTCGTATACGTAACTATCGTAAACATTTGAAATTAAATTTGTTGTCCAGCGAGTCGACTATCTAATTTTGGTATTTTGGATCTTACAATTGTCTTCCGAAAGTAGTTGAAACCAAAAAGAAAGTTGTGTTCTATAGTTTTTCTTTTACTACATCTTTCAACTTGTCGGAACTTATCGGTTAGAAGAAATACAGCTTGTGGTTTGGTCATCGATTACCCTTGTCCTTCATATCCTAGAAGGTAATTTAATCAATTTTTATGTACATATTAAAAACCTTCCCGAAGACCAACCAAGGAAGATGTTGAAACACGTCCGACAAATCAAACCAATTACATGTTCGACATGCAAATTTCAACAAAATATCATGTAAGAAAATAAAACGCTTGGATGCTTTCTAAGCAATAAATGTGTATGATTTTATCGTTTAGCTTGATTGTTATGAAAAGAACAAACTTCTTACCAAAACTTCTGCGACATCAACACCTTCATTTAAACGAAGATACACACAAATAATCTTGCTTTTCAAAATCCAGTAGTACGAAGCCGCCATAGATTATTAAATAAACCACAAGATAGTCTGAAAAAGTCCTCTCCATTCTTGGCAAAAGGCAATAGTGTGACTGATGCGGGTACCAGTGCAAAGGGGTTCGAGGAAAGGAAGTTAACTAACTAGTAAAAGAAAGAACAAACACTCTCGCACATTATAACGAAAACAGGACTAAGCCTATCTCGAAGCTTACTGAAAGTGAAACTCAAGTATCGGACAAGAGTAGGAAAATACGGTGCACTACAATATTAACAACGGAACATATACAGGGTGACTGGCGATAAGTGTCGAAAATTTCATGAGGTGTTTCTACTTACTACATATATGCAACAAAAAAAAGTTCCTATAAGCCCCTGGCCAAATCTCAAGGTACAGAAGTAACTTCATTTTTTTCTGAATTTTGCGTGCAGAAATTTTTGATTAATTCTGCAATGTAAATAATCCTTAGAGAAAATTTAACGTTCTTTCAGATGGCAAAAACTAGAGTTTTCTAAAGTCAGTAATTCTGAAGTTTATAAGCAATGTAGTGGATCTAAGTAGAAAAAAAACTCAAATTACTTTTTACCATTAAATTCACTAATTTCGTGGTCCCCTTGACCAATTAATATATTACAATTAATTAAGGTTTTCAGTTTAGATAAAAAAGTCAATGGCACGAGCGGGATTCGAACCCACGATCTTCGGCTAGATACGCCGCTGCTCTACCACCTGACCTCGATCCACTCGGACACCAACTTCCTATCTCAACCCCACCTTTTGAGTTTTCCCTCCTTTTTGCCATTTTTCGAATCCCGCTCATGGCATTGACTTTTTTATCTCAACTAAAAACCTTAATTAATTGTAATATATTAATTGGACAAGCGGACCAGGAAATTAATGAATTTAATGAATTAAAATGAAGTATACTTCACTAAAGCTCTCCGTAGCCATTTCATTTGTCGCCGAGAATCCAATCCGATTAGACGACAATTGAAAAATGGCAAAAAGGAGGGAAAATTCAAAAGGTGGGGTTGAGATGGGAAGTTAGTGTCCGAATAGATCGAGGTCACGATAGCTCAAGTGGTAGAGTAGCCGCGTATCTAGCCGAAGATCGTGGGTTCGAATCCCGCTCGTGCCATTGACTTTTTTATCTCAACTAAAAACCTTAATTAATTACTTTTTACCGTTTAGATTTGGACAGGGGTTGATAGGAAGATTTTTGTTGAATATGATGAGGAAAAACACCTGAAATTTTTGCCACTTATCGCCAGTCACCCTGTATACAGAGCGTATCAACCACTATATTCCATCTTTAATTCAGAAATGATTAACTTTATCAAAAAATGGACTTTTACAGACCCAAAGTTAATTTTCGCTAGAAATAGCGTGATGGCCATACATTTAACTTAACTTTCCCATCTAGCTGGGAAATGATACTAACTTTGTTATTTTAAACAAGAATCCCATATTTTTCTTGTACAGTTCGATTCTACAGCTTATTTTATGCCATTTTTAAGTAATGCCTGAAGGAAGACGCGTGATAAGGTATTCTTTTTGTAACAAAAATTAACTAAAACATGAACTTGGGGTTTGTATATACAATTTTTTTGCTAAAGTGAATCGTTTTCGAAATAAACGGGCATGGCTAACTTGTTACCCAAAGCATAACCCCTCATGCTCCTTTCGTTATGCTAAATCTGTTAAGACTACGCGATTCCTAGCCAAAATTAACTTGGGGTTTGTATAAGTCCATTTTTTGCCCAAGTTCATCGTTTCCGAATTAAATGGGTGGACTATAGAAGTATATTTTTCTCAAGTAGAGAAGATTCCAACTTCCACTAAGCTAATAAGAGAATGGTCCGCTTCACTGAACAAAGGAATGGTTATGACGAGAATATTTATTCACAGTCGAGTTTTATGTACAAGCCATGTGTTTTGTAATTGTTGAAAAGTGTAGACTTAAAAGCTGTAGGTGGCGTAAGGTCCGGAGAAAGATGCAGTTGATGAAGAACCAGCAGGGCTGTACGAGACGGCAACTGGGGAGTGAGCGACAGCGACTGGAGCGTGTGCTACGGTGACTGGTGCGTGAGCTACGGCGACTGGTGCGTGAGCTACGGCAACTGGTGCGTGAGCAACGGCGACTGGGGCGTGAGCGACGGCGACTGGAGCGTGAGCAACAGTGACAGGAGTCACAACGCGGGCAACTGGGGCAGCTTTAGCGACCACACCAGTGGCGGCGTCCTTATGGACGACGGCGTTGAAACCGTTGACGGGGTCGGCGGTGTATTCGACTACCCTCCTGGAGCCATCGGGTTCGACCAAAGTGTAGCTTCCTTTAACTACGTCGCCATCCCTTTCTTCAGTTTGGCTCTTGGAGTCTCCGGTAAGAGAGTCGCTCACTGAGTATTCGAATTTGTACTGAGGATGATCGTCGAATGGCTCGGGCTCGACCGATTTGGCAGCGGCGGGCGAAGCGAACTGAGGAGCTGCACAGGCTACAGCTACGACAGCTGCGAAGATGGTGACGTACTAAAACCAAAAGTCAATATTATAACAATATTGTAAATGAAAAAAGTGAAAAATACAGTTATATTAATGGATAGTTTCTGCGAAGAACTAGTGAAATCCATATTAGCGTACTTACAGAAAGGGACATTTTCGATGTGTTCGTTTCGACCACTTGTGTTCAACTGATGATGGCATGAAGATGTCTTCCCGTATTTATATCGAGGCTTAACACATCGTCGAGATGAGCAAACGGCCAAAAAAGCAAAAAAATTATGATAGACGCAGGCTTTTTTCAACCCCGTCTTTTCGGTTCAAGGGCGGTCGGGATGCCGCAGCCTCCGACCCGCTGCCATAAAATTTGAATAGCCGGCCCGTAAGGTACCGTTAGATCACCCGACGCACGTCTTAATCGAAAAGTTCGAAGGGCAACAACTGACCAAAGTGGGGACACAAAAACCTGAACCAGTATGACACAGTATGCAGCGGGTAGTTATACTTCTCAGAGCTGTATTGAATAGGAAAAAGTAAGTTTTGTGTTTAGATAAAACCTTACTTCCTTCTTAAAAATTTCAATCGATATCGTCAAATTTCAATAATAAATCCTTTGAATAAAATTTGACATCTTGGTAAGCTGGCTTTTGGTTTTTTACGAAACATTCTTTTGTTAGGAAACATCATCAATAATCAGAATAATTTTTTTTTTGGAAAAATACACCATTCAAATTTCAAATAATAAAAATACTAACATAACTATTTTCCTGGGTGATTTTTGACCAGAATCAATTATGATATTGATCTAAACAATATAAATTATTTTCTATACCAAATAAAGTCTTGTTTAATCCAAGTCGTTTTATAAAAATATTAAAGCACAGCACAAAAAATTGTGATTTTCAAAAATTAGAATTTTAACTATGTGACACTACTTTCATAATTAAATATTGTTATAAAAAACAAACTGCTTTAAATTTCTTTTTTTCTAAATTAAATTAATGGCTTTTTACCCCCATGAGACATTTAGGAAACCGACAGTTAACTAGTAAAGTCCAAAACTATTGTAAATTTGTGAGACTCTGGTTTCTTTATTACAAATAATTTATAACTTGTTATAAGTATTATCACAAAATGTAGATTAGTTTTATATGTACTATCAAATAGTAGAAAAATTTATATTTACAGTTCTAAATATTTCGTATCAATACCAGGCGAAGTTCTATGTTCATAACTTTATAATTTGTCATAGTCGCAAAACATAAAATTAACTATTCCAATGCAGCTTAAAACAGCTGTTACCCTCTTTTTTCATTTCAAAAAATTTGGTTCAAAATAAAGGTTAAGTCCTCCCTTGCTTGGCGGAAAATCGAGTAACCCATCGCCTCTGAATTAGATAAGTTATGTGTATAAATTGTGTTGAGAATGAATGTATTTATTAGCGCGAATGTACTTAAGTGGGAGGGTTGATGGCGGAATATCGAGTGATCGACTCTCAATTAGGTTAGTTGTTTAATATATGTAAAGGGTGATGGATGAATATCGACTCCTCCATCACCCTAATTGAATGAGGTATGTAAATAGAAGTGAATGTATTTAAGAACGTTAGTACGGATGAGTTCTGAACTGCACGCGTTTGGTGTTAAATTGTCCTAGCTGTTGACAGCACCCGGAGGTCAGCCACGCTGGCTGGACAAATGAGACTTTGCATCGGAATATCAAGAATCCAGGAGAGAGAAGTGAAAAGACTGGAAAAAGAAAGCAGCTAATAAGAACTGAAGGTGGTCACATGTAACAAAGGTTTTTTTTAAGAAGAAAATTTTAAGCTAAAAATAAAATGATAAGAGAAAATTGGGAAAAACAGTGGATGGGGGAAGCGATAAATGGGCATCGAGAGATAAAGTGGAGTCCGGCATGATTGAGGGGACGGACTGGGAATAGTCGCGTTCCGCCGGGTTTTCAACCTCGTATGATTTTGAGCATCGAGGCGATCAGGATGGGTCCTGGATAGGGAATCAGGTAGCGGACAGTCCGGGAGGCTCGAGACAAATAAAAGGCTGCTACTTAACAACTTAGTGAAGTCTACATGAACATACGGAGAGGAAGTGGCGGGTTCATCCAAACATTCCAACATAAGCAAAATCCAAATCCATAATCCTAAGGGGGACTGGGATTCTTTGAGTCGACTCTTTGAAGCTCCGGAGAGTCTCGGCTGCGTCTAGCCTGAGTCCGGGCTGCCCCGACTCATTGTTGCGATGAATCTGGTATGTTGCGGGCTAGCATTTTCGGACTCTCGAATCACATCCAATATGGGATTCTTTGACTCAATGTTGCGCAACATTTGCCAGTGCGGACGTGAATTGGAACAAGCGCTCTTGCTTCATTTCTTTAGTTGGCGTTGTAGTGAGTGTTTTCTTGAAGATTTTGACAGTGGCTTGTGTAAAGGTGTGGAGTACCGAGTTGACATCGCAGTTTATGGAAAACATGCATTCCGCATTTTCACGGAATGCAAAAATCTGGAATTGAAAAGCTAAACATTGAACGGTTTAGCCCAAAAATTCAGTGTTTCCGTCGCCGAAATTGAAAAAAAAAACACACTTTAAATGGACAGTTCCGTTTGTTTTGAAATCCTGAAGGTGTACATGAGGCTTGTATAAAAGAAACCGGAGAGTGGCAGCTAATCTGTTGGCCGGAGAGATGGATACCCGAAAGTTGGTATCTTTTCTTGAAAATTTGACAGCCAACTTTCATTAAAACAGTTTCGAAATCGATCGGGGACATCCTCAAAAAATTTCTGAACCCTGCACCACTATTTAATCTCAACGTGTCAAAAGATTTCTCCTGTGCTGATTCCCGCCGATAATATTTGTCGAACCCACCATGTTTTTGGCGTTTTTTAATGCACCTCCGATTGGATTCACTACGTAAAATGCAAAAAAGAGCAAGGGAAATTGCTGAGAGAGCTAGCTCCTCCATCATTTTCGCAGGCACTGATGAACGTGAACTGAATCTTAGTCTGGACACGGTTCTTTGTCGCGGAGCAGAGTCGGTGCTGCATCGCAACAATGAATCTACGCAGCCCCGACTCTGCCCAGCAACATGAATCGATTCAAAGAATATCAGTGCTAGGCTTAAGAATATTCCTTGATGCTCTATTTTATGTATCCAACAAAACTACCCATACAGACCTAAATTTTCCTTTCGTCTAAAATGTAAACCTCAAAGTAAAAAACTTACCTTTAACCCGCGGGAAATTGAGTGACGGTGATATTCACACAAGCTCTTATTGCATAGACAACTTAATATCATTGGACTATTGCCAATGGGAAATTTTTCCATTTTTGGTTTTAATTGTATAAATATTTCCTTTCTCAAAGTTTCTTATGGCAGAATATGAAGACAGTTTGTTGAAGACGCTGAAGAAGCCGTTCTTGATCGCTCCTCACGACTTCAACAAATTATGAAACAACATGTCACTAAGAAAATATGAAGATACTTGTAACATAACGTAAAGTAAAAAAAATAATAATAATGTGCTTACATAAAAATGTGCACGCTAATCATTAGTTTAGTGCCAAATTTGACAGTGATTTGGATATGAAGCGATCAGTAGTGGTTATTCTAGAACCTGGTATGAGTTAACCGTAGTGTATGGCTGATTGAACTCTAGGCCATTATGCCAAATGCACTAGATCAATTGATTTCAGTAGGTATTAAGAGGATGACGAGTTTTAATGAATTTGAGAGAATAATAATTAAACAGAATGTAGGCTATTGGAATTTATTTACATAGTTATAGGCAGAAATTTGAAAGGTACAGCTGTTATGATACTTTTAGAAAGCATAGTTGGCGTATGGAGCTGAGAAGGAAGTGGTGTAGAGGGGAGAGTGAGCGACGTGGGCGACGAGTGGAGCGTGACCGAGGGTGGTGACTGGGGCGGCATAGCCGGCGTAAGGGTATCCGTGGGTGGCGTAGGCAACAGTCGCAGGTTTGTAGAGAGTTGTCGCTGCGACGACAGGGGCGGATTTCACGGCTGCGACGACAGGGGTGGTCTTAACGACAGGAGTGGTTACGACTCCTGTTTCCTTGTGTACGACTGCGTTGAATCCGTTGACGGGGTCGGCGGTGTAGTCTACGACTCTCCTGGAACCGTCGGCTTCGACGAGTGAGTAGCTTCCGTGTACGACGTCTCCGTCGCGCGTTTCACTCTGACCTTTGGAGTCTCCGGTCAAGGCGTCGTTCACGCTGTAAGAGAAGCTGTACTGGGGGTGCGGGTCGTATTCTTCGATGGGCTTGACAGTCTTAACGGCCACTAAGGGGGAGGCTGCCACGGCCACTGGGGCGTGGGACACCGTCGTGAAGACCTGAGGAGCGGCGAAAGCCACGGCGAAGAAAGCGGAAACGCAGACGACGTACTAAAACATTAAACAATCATAATCTCAAATTCGCATAAGAAAATTCAGTTTACTCACCGAAAGACTCATGTTTACTGTTGCCGTTGAAATGATGCCCCGCCTATGGGCAGGGCCCGTTTTTATAGTAAAAAAGCTATTGGGAAAAAAGTCAAAAAATAAAATTCCGTATAGAAAATTCGTACGAGACTTGGGCGGGTTCCGCGCCCACCGCTCAGTGGGGGACAAAGCCTTGAACTTAGTCCTCCTGCCATTGACATCTAGGACTCGGTGCGATCTTTCCCCTCAGTGAAAGCCTTTCAAAAATACCACGCCTCCACGGCCAGACGTGCACGAATTCGGCGCGTTTTCATTTTTCAATTAACATTAAAATCTCTCAAACAAGACAACCCTTTGTACTATCACATCACCTGCGACACGTGCGTGGTTGGCTCCCCGCCTCCAGTGACGTCGTGGTAGGTGATGTAAAAATCAAAGGCTGTACCAGCCAGGTGAATACAGCACATAGATCGGACTTCTACGAGAATTAGAAAAATTTCAAAAACAGCCAGTAAACTCATAATAAACATATTATTCTTTCTATAGATAGATAGATAATGATGTTTATTTACAATAAAAATTATTTTACAGAAAATATTCAGTACATAAAACATCCTAGACAATAGCCCACAGGCTGTCTGTCGAGTTGCCAAAAAAAAACATAGAATAATATTAATAATGTTAATAATACCAATACTAATACTAACAATAGTAATACAAATAGTTATAATTTACACTACTTTATTAATAATTGAAATTATCGACTAGAAACGCCCTGTATTTTAGGGAGTACAAAACATAATTGTAGAGACTGTGCCAGTTCTTCCCATTCAAAAATGAAATTACTTCATTTTTTTTCTAAAAACAATTTGCCAAACCACCTAAGTCTGTATTCAATATAGGGCATACCGCCAAAAAATGGAAGCCATCCTCATACACACCTAAATTACACAAAGCACAACGATACGCTTCGTCATTTCTGTGGACCGAGTAATTAAGAGGCAGCAACTGACCTCTTGCTTTCATTATCACACTTATCATTTTCAAGTTATAATTTTTATTTAAATAATGGTGATTTTCTCCTAATTCCAGATTCAGTTCTTTTATAAGCCATGGAAGACAGACCGTTGTGCTCTTAATTTTAATTTATTTTTAAAATCAGTTGTCAAAACATTTACCAAGCTTTCCACATTATTTTTATTTACGTCGGAATAACTCAAGGGGGTTAAACCGTGTTGTATACACAAATTGTCAAATTCTTTTGCCCAAAATATTTTCGGGACCGCGGTAGCCGAGTGGTTAGCACGAGAGACTCACGCCGCGGTCGTGGGTTCGATTCCCACCGTCGCCTCTGGCCCTTTTTCCCGATAACCCCCAATTTGAACAACATATATATAAGAATTCGTCATGGCTAATATGCAAAGATCATAAGGCAAAAAACAATTTCTTGTCTAGTATTTTCGAGGCCAAAATTCGAGGAAGTCTAGTAGAAGACAATGATAAAACTTTTTGGATGTATGTCAGATGCAGGCTTAATGTGTTGAAAAACAATGGNTTTTAATTGTTATTATTTTTATAGTAATTTATAGTAATATTAAGTATTTATTATTCTAATATTTATTTGTGTTATAATTTCCGCGTTTCGCACGTTCAAATTGAGCGTCATTGAAAAAAAATCAGCTGATAATTGGAACGTCGCTTTGGCGGAGGTATCAGCGGTTTACTTTGGCAATTCATGTCGAGAGACGTGGTTGTAGAAGTCCTTCAACCTGATGATGAGCTAAAAGGCTCGAAATCCGGATCGTTGCAAAACAACTTACTGTGAGTAGGAACTATCCTTTTAAAAAGTATCTCAATATTTTGTTCAGCATAGTTCCAAACCTCTTTTCTCCCAAGCCTACCCCCTCTGCGGAAGACCATTATTTTTGACTTGTTTAAATTAACAAACAAATTCCATAACTGGCAATACTCGTAAAGCTTATTTATCATTTTATGCAGTGTACTGGGGTCCGTTGCTAATAATACAATGTCATCTGCATAGAGCAAACAACGAACATTCAACCCATCAATATGCAATCCACCGCCTACAAAATCACATAGATCATTGATATATAACGAAAATAAAAGTGGAAATAGTAAACAACCTTGCTTTAGCCCTATGTTTGTCTTAAAGGTATTTGAAATTCCCTCCTTCATCCACACAGCAGATTCAGTTCCCTCGTACAATAGATTTAGCAAGTAAAAAAAAGTAAGACCTGTCATAGGATTGGGCATAACTTTGAACCATTGGGAGTCGTAAATAAAGTTCGTAAGTACTTTATAATACGTGTACGTTATTAATCTCAAATAAAATTCCGAGGTCTGTGACGGGATTTGAACCCAGAACCCCTAGTGTGGCAAATACGAGTCGGAAGACCTAAACCTACATGGTCCCTTTTTAGCTAGAAATTTATCCAAATTTTCATTATTATTTCGTTAGTTCAGAAGAGCCTGGGTGAAGTTGATTTTAAACTAAAATATAATGTATCAATACAGTTTATTCACAGACGAGTTATATGTACAAGCCAAGTGTTTTGTCGATCAGAAAGACATCTTAAAAGCTGTAAGTGGCGTAGGGTGCAGAGAAGGAAGCGGTCGATGTCGCAGGGCCGTAAGAGACGACTGGAGCGTGAGCGACGGCTACGGGGGCGTGTGAGTAGGCGACTGGAGCGTGAGCTACAGCAACTGGTGCGTGTGCGAAAGTGACTGGTGCGTGTGCAACAGCGACTGGAGCGTGAGCGACGGTTACTGGAGTGTAGACGCGGGTAACAGGTGTAGCAACGCGGACGACAGGGGCGGCTTTAGCGACCACACCAGAGGCGGCGTCCTTGTGGACGACAGCGTTGAAACCGTTGACGGGGTCGGCGGTGTATTCGACTACCCTCCTGGAGCCATCGGGTTCGACCAAAGTGTAGCTTCCTTTTACGACGTCGCCATCCCTTTCTTCGTTCTGGCTCTTGGAGTCTCCGGTGGTAGGGTCGTTCACGCTGTAAGAGAAACTGTATTGGGGATGATCGTCGAATGGCTCAGGTTGGGCTGATTTGGTAACAGTCAACTGGGGAGCAGCGCAGGCGACTGCAAGAAGAACGGCCAAGGTGGCGACGACCTGAAATTCAAATAATATTAATTATAACTGATCGTGTCTTGTTGACTCGTAATATAAATTGCTGTAAAGTTGCAGACTCCCGTACAACCTCGTTATTCAAATTATCCTACAATTTTGTTTGAAATGACCAACCGTCAATCTTTGTCTACATGGACAAACGTTTATGAAGAAAGAACACGTTTAGTCTGCAAACAATCGCCATATAAAAATTATTCATTTAAAACGAACTGTCGATTAATGTTTAATAGTTGGGCTTCAAAACGAGACAATCCAATCTTATTAATATAAACCAAAATAGTTAATATTAGGAGAATTATTTCGCCCACTTACGGGAAGAGACATTTTAGATGTGTTCGAATCGACCTCAACAGTCAAACTGATGATGGCATGAAGATGTCTTCCCATATTTATATCAAAGCTTAACACGCCGTCGGGATTAGCAAGAGCAAAAAGGAAAAAACGATAAGATGGTCTCAGGCCATCTCAACCCCGGTATTTTGGTTCAAGGGCGGGCACGGGTACGACCAATAACTATAAAATTTGAATACTTGATCAACGGTGTCCTTCTTAAGTTGGCGCTTCGTGTCATTTGGGAGGTCCTGGTTAATGAACGATCCATAAAAAACGACTCTTCCAGGAAAATTTGAACCGGCGTAAATGATAACAGCAATTATCAAACAATTACCAATTTTCTTACGCTTTGTTTGAATATTGTCATATTGTCATACTGGCTTGTTTCCAATGAGCATATTATTTTAATCTTCCGTTTAAGAAGGCGTTGAAAAGTCGATAAATGTGTCATTCGTTAACAATATCATTATGCCATATAACAACGGTTTAGTTAAACCGGGTGTCGCACTGAAATAGCGACACCCACTTTTTAAAATAAGTGGTCTAAACATTTTTTTTCGTATCACAATAATAGGTATTTGAGTATCAACTTTATTTTTTTCATAATGGATCTATCTATTTTCGATACATTTTCGAGAAATAGATTGTTCAGGTGAAATTATAAACTGTATAGTTTTTCCCCAGGATTTAAAATAAGGGTGCGAAAGTTTGTTTATGTCACAGTAATAGTTTAATTGAGCACCAAATTTATTTTTTCAAATAGACCCATCTGTGTATGAGGCGCTGTTTTTAGTTGAGATAAAAAAATCAGTGTCACGAGGGGGATTCGAATCCACGAACTTCAGCTAGTTACGCCGCTACCGATGACTCCACGATAGTTCAACTGGTAGAGTAGCAGCTTATCTAGCCGAAGGTCGTGGGTTCGAATCTCGCTCGTGACACAGACTTTTTTATCTCAACTAAAAACCTTAATTAATTGAAAGAATTTAATTGGTCAAGCGGACCACGAAAACTAGTGAATTTAAAGGATTAGCCTAAGAACACTGCCTTGTGAGACTCCTGCCCGGACCGGATGGGTGAATGGGAAAAAGTGAAAATTACGTTAAGTGGGCGTTGAAATATATATTATTGATACCGTGTATAAATGTATTTTTTATATATAGTTTTTTCATCATGTTTCGCTTACAGCAGTACATAAAATTACATGTTTCAGTTTTTATTTTTATGTTTACAAGATATACACGGATTAAAATGTTAAAAATAACAGGGAAAGTGGCTAGCTTCATTGTGAATGGTAGAACAACGCAATAATTACAAAAAAGATCATATGTGAGTTTTAAAAACAAATAAGATTTATTCTTTCTGGTTAACAATATAATAATTATGCTTCCATCATCGTCGATTCCAGTTAAATTATGTTTCGTGTATTTGTTTATTCCGTAAATAATATTTTAGACTCTTTCAAAATTAATTACTATGCCCGTTCAAGTTTAAAACATCCTTTTTTGTTTGGTCGTATAAATTTTACAAACGTGTTGACAAATTAGTTCACGACCAGCGATTCGTAAATAATCTGAGACCGAGCTCGGTAAATGGAATTTACCTATTTGAGAGTTGTGTTAAGGAAAAGAAGGTGGTGCAGTTCCTTAGGGGCGGCAAAGTGGTAATTAAGGTAAGGTGCGCACCCGTCGGAAGCAGTTAGTTGGAACGAAGTCCTGGAAAAACAGCTGTTGCCCTCCTTCAGACCCTCAACCTCAAGCCCACACTTCCCTCACGAAAGCTCCCTTCACAATTAAAGAAAGACGACCGGGGGTGTAAATTAACAGGGAAAGGTTCAGTTTTTCTCTGACTCTCACTTTTCACCAGTCGAAACAGGACCCGCCCGTTGAATTTTTCCAAATGATTATATCGGAAATAAGGGGAAAATTATTTGCCAAGCTTTAAACTTTTAGGTTTGTATGATTCGGAAATTCATCATTATCAAGACTGGCAACGTAAATATATCAGTTCAACAAAGAAAATACGAAATTGCTTCTGGCCAACTGGAACTCGGTTATCCATTTATTGAAAGAAAACACCCAAATAAATAAATTTAATTTAACATTGCCAACCTTAAGCTTAATATTTGAAATTATTATTTGAAGATTGTGAAATACGGTCTGGTGTGCGTAGGTTTTAGAAAAATATTTTCTTTATCGTGCCAACGTTTCGGACTTTATTGAGATCATCTTCAGAGTTCAAAGTGTTTGTTTTCTGCGTAGATGTGTCATTCTTGTCAATCGTGTTTGGAGTGCTCACACGACACACAAGAATGACATAATTACGAAGAAAACATACACTTTGAGCCCTGAGGATGATCTCAATAAAGATCGAAACGTTGGCACGATAAAGAAAATGTTTTTCTAAAACCTACATCAGACCGCATCTTACGATCTTCAAATAATCATTAACTAATGGTCACTAAACACCACACATTTGAAATTATTTATAATACATAATTAAATATAATTAAATTTATAGTAGATATCTAGAATCACCCAACGACGGGTTACCAAAAAATAAACGAATCTACAAAAAAATATATTGGGCAGAATAAGACATCAAATAAATTAAATAGAAAATTTAATCCAAGTTTACGTATTAGAATAATGTTTGATATTTCTATGTTAATCTTCGAAATTATTTCAGATTATTTACATTAAAAAAAAAAAATTTCTACCGACTATAAATAAGGACTTCTGTATCTACGAACCTAATGGGGGCCAAATTTGAAGGCTTCGACTAAATTTGGAGTACGAAAAATTTCTGTTTTGTTATTTCCTCCGATCAGATTAACATAAATCCCCCTCGATTTTTCTAATCCGAGATTTTTTAAGCACGTTTCATTTAATCCACTAATACTTTCCAAATTTTGGAATGCGAGGTTCGTACAATCTCAGTAAGATGAAATCTGTGTCAAGCTACCAATAATTAAATTCGGATGCAATGAAAGCTAAATTGGTCAATACTGTATGTATTTCCTGCGATACACAGTTTTCTTCGAGTTATGCAATGAAGTTCTAATTTTTGAAAAATTTTCTCTCTAATACACGTTGGCTTTTACCAATGTCACCCATCTCGTTACGTCAGATCGTGGTGGACGTGATAAATCTGGATAGTTATCTTTTAAAACCCGTACTCTACTCGGAGCTTTAAGGAAGTCCTTTTTCATGTCTGATAACAAAAAATCTACATTTGAAAATTCACTTTTTTTGTTTAAAAATTATACTTNATTCTCTTTTTTGTTTAAAAATTATATTTAATTTTTAAATTATTTAATACTTTTTGTTTACGTCTTGTACTCTTTAGTTCTCTGAAATCCTTCTTATGTTTTTGCTCATTTTTTAGTTTTTAATAATTTTGTTCCTTATTTGATTAAATACGAGACATAATATGTAATTGCATGTAAAATGTTTACAAATATGTAAAATAAAATACGGTTGTTCTTCTAAATAGTATGAAACATGAAATAAGTTTCAAAAAGTACTAGGCTCAGAAAAAATATGTGGAGGATTTACACGTAGGTCCTTAGTTATTTGGATAGAATTATTTTAATGCTATTATCTTAAAATTTGCTAGAGTTATAGGTTTATTTATGTAAATTTATAATTGGACTTTTAAATTGTATAATTTTGTTTAGTAAAATCGAATGGTTTTATATATCAGTTCCCCGGAGGCATACGACATTAAGCCATTTCAGAAAATAAAAAGGAAAACAACTAAATAAGAAGAAAACATAATAATATCTCCTTACTTCTAGACTTAAAATGTATACAAATGCATTTTTTATTACCATCCTCAGTCTTTAAATTAAAATATTTTTTTTTATTGACAATAAGTCATACCTTTCCTTTTACCGCGAGCTAAATATTGAAAAGTAATTTTTTCTGATTTTTTATCGGTCGATATTTGTCAAGTTAATTGTTAATTAAGGTTAATGGAAGGCAACGAACTGGGCTGACAAAAAAGCAAAAGCAGGTGCACCACTCACACCCATTGGACCAGAAACATCAATTGCCACACCCAATGCTGTCCAGAACAAACGAAATGGAGGAAGAAATGACCACATGTGATGAATTCACATGGTACAAAATAATCTAATTAGAATTAATTAAGGTTTTCAGTTGAGATAAAAAAAGTCAGTGGCACGAGCGGGATTCGAACCCACGATCTTCGGCTTGATACGCCGCTGCTCTACCATGAGCTATAATGATCTCGATCCACTCGGATACCAACTTCCAATCTCAACCACCTTTTGAATTTTTCATCCTTTTTGCCATTTTTCAAATGTCGTGTAATTAACTAGTGAACCTACACTATAGTCACTTTTACACGGAAAAGAAAGCTAGATCACATGAAAGAAATCAAACTCAACAACACTGTGATAGAAATCAAAAATGAAGTCAATATCTGGGCACCAAAAAGGAATGGGAAGGAAAGGGAATAACTCCTTTAAAAATGGCACCATCCTTTGGTACACAGATGGATCTAGAACACAAGAAGTTACGGGTGCAGGAGTATTTGGACCCGGACCCAAATACTCAGAACCCATGGGAAAACACACCAGTATCTTCCAAGCTGAGATTCACGCAATTGAAAGATGTATCCAAAAGATACAAAAACAAGAATATAGCTATCATGTCAGATAGTCAAGCAGCCGTCAAAGCACTAAGCTCAAGCATCATTAGTTCAAGGATGGTGCTGAACTGCAAAAACAAATTAAACACACTAGGTATGCAGAATAAAGTCAGCCTCTGCTTGGTCCCAGGACACATGGGAGTAGAAGGCAATGAGAAAGCGGACACCCTTGCAAGGAAAGGGGCTGCCACACCGCTGATAGGACCCGAAGCATTCTGTGGAATAGGAATCCACACTTTAACGAATATCTCAGACAGAAGGACAAAAAGAAAATGAAGGAACAATGGAATTCACTCATTGGACATAGACAATCCAACAATCTTCTAACCAATTTTGGTAGGAAAGAAATCACAGAATGTGTCAAAGGAAGCAGGAACAGACCGCGAATCCTA